TATTGTCTTCTTTTTTTAGCTGATTTTGGAGTAGCAGCACAAATAACAGCTACCATTGCCAAAAGGAAATCTTTCATTGGAACTCCGTATTGGTAATTATCCTTTAGTCTAACCATTTGGAGGAAATTCCAGGGATATGTGGGGAGTTGTCAAGGAGAGGGGGAATATGTTCCAACACTCTTGTTAATTCAGCTGGTAGACAAAAACCACAGGATACAACTCAAGGTGATGTACACTCAAAACTGGTACTTGAAGCAAACCAGGAAGGTCTTGTTTGGACCCCAGCAGTGGTCACCATTCAGCCTTTAAACTACATGTAGCCTATGGTTCTTTGGCCTCCTTCTCCCCCCTCCCCCAATAGCTGCTAAATTTCACTGGCATGGTAGTGGTGAAGAAGACATGTTTTTATCTGTTGTGGAGCAAAGCTGCACTGCCACATTCTAGGAAGTCCAGTTTTCCTTTAAAACAAAGTGTGTGTCTCTCTGTGCCCTCCTTTAATTGTGGAGGGAAGAAGGTCAGTTTCTTTGTTTTCTTTTCTTGTTGCCCACTTCTGGGATATAAGAACGCTTATTCAGTTTTGGATTTGTGAACTGTGTCCGGGTCTTTTGCTTTTTACATTTTATTTCACAGTGGGTAAGCAGTAGGATTGCAAGTTGGATTGTGGCTGAGTTCTTGGATAACTTTCTCCAAGGTTTTCTCAGCCTCGTTTATGTATCCAGTTCTTTGACAAGGCTAAGGTTATTAGTTGGTGAGCAAAAAATCAGCCTGACTTGTTCTAAGGCCCTTAACCCTGATTGAGCATTGAAACTACAAAAGGTGAAAGGACACTTGTAGTCTGTGTCTTCCATAAAGCATAAGGAGCAGCAGAGAGATTAACATCGGAATGTATTGAAAAGTGGGCAGTACCGTCTTTTAAAATATGGAAATGGAAAGGTCCTTCCTTGCTAAACTGGTTTTCTTTTATTTTTAGGATGGCCCCAGAGGTTGCAGCAGTTGAAAGGAAAGGTGGATATAATCAACTTTGTGACCTTTGGGCTGTTGGAATCACTGCTATAGAACTAGCAGAGCTTCAGCCTCCAATGTTTGACTTGCATCCAATGAGGTTGGTAATTGTATGTAAGGCTGGGAAGCCTTACAAAAGATTTAAGAAGAGCTTATAAAGGCATAATTGCCACAGGCAAATGTAGGTTTTTCTAATAAAACACCTTCCTATCCAGTGAGGAGATGGCTGCAAGATCAGTTTTGGCAACTCTTTGTGATGCAGGAAGAAGGAAAAGAAGGAAAGAAATTGGATTTCCCTTCTATGTAGCTCTAGGCTTGTGCTCTGGAGTGATGGTAATTTTATATCTCTCCAAGGTCTTAACATGGGCATTATTTTGCCCTTAGTTTCTAAAATTACTTTTCATTAAAGGCTGGTTAAAGACAATACAGTTTTAGAGACCACAAAAGCCTGTTTGACTGAAGACAATAGGAGAGAAAATGAATGGCATGCCCTAGACAGCTATAGTTCTGTCAGCAATTTTTTTGCCTCTGAAAAAGTAATGGATGTAATTCTGCCCTCTGCACTCCATGTTCTTCTTTGTGAATGCTGTGATCCACTGGGGCAATTCTCTAATACCTCAAGGTTATCATTTGCATCCTGGATAACTCTTTCCTGAAGCTTTGTATGTGGCTATTCTGCTACTGGATATAACCAGTGTGCCAGAGACCTGAGGGAGAGATACTGAAAGAATGCTGGCTCTGGACATTATTGAATGCAGGCTTACGCCATGCTAAGGTGATCACATGTCAAGGAACTAATAGAAAATCCAGAATTTTTTTTTGCGAGAGACTTGCAGAAGCTGCCATTATTTCTTGTACTTTTGTTCTATAAATACAGGGTCCAGAACTATACTAATCTGTTCACTGTTTCTAATAAATACAGTCAACCTAGCCAC